ACAGGACAAGGAAACTTAGAGGTGCACTCGAAATCCCTGAGATCGCGTAGGTGTGGCTGCTACCTAATTTTAAAATGGCGGCGACTTAGGTTTTCGCGATATTTTTTCTTTTTGGAGCAATCGTAATAATGTCTACTCTCCTCATCATTACGGACTGTCGGGGCGTGTCAGCCAGTAGGAGTGCGCACACTGTTTGAAGCCGTTCTCAGCCTTTTCGTTGAAACGCGTATGCGACAAAAAGTGGTAGAAAACGAGTAATACGAAGGATATAATGCTGTCATGTCATTTGCTCGCTTCAACAACTGGTGCAGAAAGACTTTGGCACCGCGGAAAACGCAGCCGCACTGACCCGCCCCGACAGTCCGTAATGATGAGGAGAGCACATCTAATACAGAACAAGATGGCAGTTGTTTCAAATTGAAGTATCCCACAAGTGGCCTATCCTGCGCCTTTTCATCCTCAAAAGCCACGCCTACCCGTCTCAGGATAAAGAGTGTATATTATGCTTTACACAGCCCGGACAAGAAACACAAGAAAGCAAAATGTTCGCAGCGTGTACTCTGAAAAAACCTATATTACTTGGCAAGCAACTCGCACAGGCGGCACGATGGTTCACTACTGGCAAGGCCGATGGACGCTTCAAGTTGGGTAGAAAAAGGTCGGGCTACTACTTGTAGCTCACCCATCTTTGAATCCATACTTACACTTATACAAGCCTGTACTGCTGGCAGTTGTAACAATGAGCCTACGCTACGACTATCTCTGTAATAATCTCTATAATAATAATAATCTAGATAATTGAAACTACACTTCGACCTATGAATTTTTGAAGAGACCTATCACTCACTAATTAGATTTCACTCAGGGAAGCTCTCGTTCTACAGCCCGTCTGCTAATAAATTTCTGCCATTCGGAGCTTCAAAGCATCAGCAGCCGCTCCTGTCTTTTACCTTGAATTTTATGCGGTAGTGGTGCAGTGGCAAATCTCTTCACATACCAGCGCAGACGCACCCCTTGGGATGGAATCCCGGATCGCCTTGCCAGCTGGTCAACCAGTCCTCAGATCTCCTTAGAGTCGGTGAGCTGGTACCAGTTCCGCGTGGGAGCATGAAAACAGTCATCTGGCGCAGTTCAGCGACAGGGGAGGGGGAGGGCATTCTGCTTCCCATCGATGTGTCGACCCATCTAGATAGCCTTTTCTTGAGTTGACACGTTTTACCATGGTGGCTAGACGAGCTTGCTCCAGCTTCACAAGAGTTCACAAGTTTCACCAGAGTGAGATTTGTAAACCGGAACTAGTGAAGCAGTGGGTGCAAAATGCATCCCCTGTCGCCCTGCGCCCAGTCATCTATATGTATTAGGTTGTCCGGAAAGTTCTCAGCGTTTTGTGCACCTATTTTTTGTACATTCACTGCTGATTAAAAACTCATTCTGCCTTGCTTCTCAGTAGCACATCCTGTAGAGAATTTCTTGCGCTATCTGATGGTATAATTGCCGTTTCACCATTGCTTGATAAACCCCCTTTTTTCAAGATTTTTTCAAGCATGTGAAAAGAGCACTTCGGACGATTTTTTTCTTCGACTATAAATTGGGGCAATCCGCAATCGAAACAGCTCAACAAATTAACCAGGTGTGGGGCCCAATAGTGCTAGAGAAAGCACTGTGCGGCAATGGCTCAACAAATTTCGTTCTGGAGATTTCAGCCTTGAAGGTGAACCTCATAGCGGTCGACCTAAAGCAATATCTGACGAGGATTTTAGGGGGATTTTGGAGGCTGACCCATCCCAAACAGTTCGAGAGATAGCAGAAGAGCTAGGCCTTGGCAAATCCACTGTTGCAGATGGTCTGGAACGCATTGGGAAGGTGAAAAAACTCGACAATTGGTGTGCCCCACAATCGGAGTGACCGGCAGGAATCGGCACGTCTCGAGGTTCCTTCTGCATTGCTTTTGCAGCAGAAACGACCTGTTTTGGGCCGAATTGTCACCTGTGATGAAAAATGGGTCATGTATGATAACAGGAGACGTTCCGGACAGTGGTTGGATTTCGACGAACCACCGAGGTAATTTTCAAAGCCGAACCCTCACGAAAAAAAGATTCTGGTCACGGCTTGGTGGTCATCGGCTGGTGTGATCCACTATAACTTTTTATCACCAGGCCAAACCATCACAGCAGAACCCTACTGTGAAGAAATCGACGAATTGTACCGAAAATTTTGTCAGATGCAGCCAACACTTATCAAAAGAAAGGGTCCGATTCCTTTGCATGACAACGCCCGCCCACACGTTTCACAAATCACTATCCATAAATTGAACGAATTGGGGGTTGAAGTTCTACCTCAACCGCCATATTCTTCAGACCTTTCGCCAACCGACTATCACCTTTTCTAACATTTTCAGAACTCCCTTGCTGGAAAATACTTCATCAATCAGGACCAGGCAAAAAAGCCTTAGTGGATTTCGTGAATTTTCGACCACCCAGTTTTTTACTTTGATGGGATTTCTCGACTGCTGTCACATTGGCAAAAGTGTGCTGATTCGAATGGTGCCTATTTCGATTAAATCCGATGAGTATTAAAAAAGTTACGATCGTTTAAAGTGAAACACCCAAAACGCTGAGAACTTTCCGGACAACCTAATATGTGGGCCAACCCCGCAGTTCATTGCATAGACCATCATTCAATGCAACTACGGTTCTGACTGGAAATAATATGCGTGGCGTATCTCAAAAGGGATGTCAACATTGAAGTCTTAACTTTTCCAAAACGTTCATTTCTGTATTTTTTGATCCTCAACGAGCAATAATCTCAATAATATCGACCATCAATACCGCAAGAATTTTTAAACGGCCGGGACAGAAAATTGACCCTGAATGCTGGCTCTAAACTGAGCCAAAGGCAGAAATTGATTTCTCGGACTACTTTACTGCTTTCTCATTAGGAATTCATAGACACTTCAAGACTAATGCATTTTCTGAGTCAAGTGTGATCTGAAGAAGAAGATTAGAAGAAAAGATCGTGGATGTGGTGGCAATGTTTATTAAAAGCCATAAACAACCCCATTTCACTTTGAGGGGTCTGAAATGTGAGACACTGGATCAACTATTTTTTTCCAACACTAGAATAATGTAGCTGAAATTAGGATAAAGGACAAAATTCATCGCCGTTGATCAGCCCTTGTTTGGGATAGGGCAGGTATTCTACTTCTATTCAGGATCGTAGTGGCTCATTGAGTGCAATGTGGCCCAAAGCACGTTCTATGTTGGGGAATCCCCAGTGAAGGGGATCGTATTCGGCCTAAGAAAAATTTTTTTGGTACTAGATGATAGGGGTATTTGCTTCACCCCCAGGAAAACGGCAGAAGTCAACAGCCGAAAAAACCGGAGTATTTTGCAACACTTAAAAGGTAGATGGAGGCAGATTATAGTAACCTGCCCACCTTATTGGAGAAGTGAAACAGTAGTTGGGAGAGAGAGACCGGTAGGGGGTACTGTAAGCGGCTTCCATCTGCCTTTTAAGTGTTGCAAAAAACTCCGGTTTTTTCGGTTGTTGAATTTTCCGCTTTTCCCGCTTTACTGGTGCTTTGCACCCTCCCCCCCCCCCGCTTGTCAGGAAAATCATGGAAATTCTTCGGGAAATATTTCGAAGAAAGTGGTTGAAACCTTAGAAAAGTCAGCGAGGTGGTACGTGGGACGCGAAAGGAGGGCAGAGTGTCTAGCAGAGGACGAACTCGGAGGAGGGGAGGGATCGTATTTTCCAAAAATTCTCCCCAGCTGCAGGACGTGCCCTGATGTGTTCTACGAAACGACCAGGGGCCAGCCGATGTACAAGTCAGTGTCCTCCCAGAGAATCTGGTAGCGATTTTCCGGTTCCGGATGGAAGGAAGCTTGGTTGGCCAGGCTAACCAAGCTAAAATCAGAGAGTGGACCTAATGTCAGGCCAATGTAGGTCCAAATAGGTGTTAGCTGGGTAAAACCGAGGGATTTGACCTTAACATTTGGCTCATCCTCTGTCGCATACACACACCCGCTCGCACTTTAGTCTCGACTGATGATTAACCGACATCAATCCATCGTGCCAATGGGTGTAAGAACGGCTTGTTGGCAGCAAAAGTGGGCGGGTCTTTTTCTGAATGTGTGCGATGTGCACAAGAGATGAAGACATGTGTACGTACGTATTCAGCAATCCTTGACTAACCGTCTGAATACGCCCCCCCCCATATCATCATATTCACTGATGAATTCCTTTCTAACTGTTCTCAACGTCGCCACTGTGGCCATCTGATGCGTCCATTTCATTACTGTCTGTAAACTCCTTATTATTGCGATTTTTCTCGCGTTTTTCCCCGTGAAAAATCGAAAATGATCGTTTCGACAGCGGATCGAAGAAAAAGATTGATGAGAAGAATTCATACGCTTCAATCGGAGGATCATAGCCAACATGGAGGAAGTACGCTTGATCTAGACTTTTCATTACCATTCGACGATGATATTGCTGAAGAAGAACAAGCTACTCAACCAAAAATCGATAAAAATTTCCTATTTGTTCCTGATATTCATGAACTAGCACTGGACAAAGGAGAAAGGCCTCCTCACAAACGGGTTCGCACTTATTGCTATTTTTATGGGAACGAAATATCACTAGGGCCAAAATTTCAAGCTCAAACGTTGAATTTTTCCCGTTTCAGGATGTCATCGAGAAGATTCCGATGCGTGCTCGATCACAAAGTTGGCTGATTCGTACACGACATCTACTGCATGATGACAGGGTTTGTTAAACTGAGTATTAGGATGTTGCTCAAAGTCCATTGTTCGATAAAAACCCTCTTCCAAATGTGATTATCGCTTCCATCCAATCACTTCCAGGATTCATCACAAAGCTCTTTGTTAACTGAGGAATTGATGGATTCCCTTGGTGAATTGTTCAAATGAACTCACTCTATATCCCGGGGATAGAGAGGTCGTGGCTGCGTACCTCACTTGAGCATAGCGCAGGATGGCTGTCGTAGAATATCCTATTTGAAAAAACTGTAAGGCTGTCCTATGCTGGGTGACGACGTGGTTACAGTTGTCCCAAAACAGCAGTACTCCATCAAAACACAACCGCTTACACGTTCAAATGAACTGCGCAGCCACGCCCTTCACGTCTCAGGGATATGGTGTGTACAGTGTACTCAGATGGATAGTTTCAGTGTTGGCTATCAAGGTTAAGGAAACAGGGTTCCTTGGAAACGCTTAATGTTGTATAACGGGTTTTCTCAACATGAACCTATTTTTCGTCATATTTTGGCTTTCGACAGAAATTTGCGGCATTGGGACGGGTTTGAGTTTTCGTGGATTTCCCGTTTCGTATGTGCTACAACTCACCCTCCGCTCGACAGCAAAGGTTTAGGGTAAAATTAGGGGAATTTTCGGGAAATTCCGGAAATGTGAAAGAAGTAGTGGGTTCTTCAGTAGGAAGTTGGGGAAATCTGAGAAGGTGGTAGGTGGGATGGGTAGGGAAGGGTGGTATTTTCCTCGCGGTTTTTTTTTCGTATTACATGTGGTATACAGGGTGACCAAAAAGTTCTGGCAATTTTTCGAAATACTTTAGATAACTTAATCAGCGGAACTAAACTTTCGGAAATCTTCACTGAATCAGTAGCAATAACGGTGTACAGAGAAATCACAACATGTATTCAAAATCGCATCCTTTGACCTCAATACATTTGCTCAGTCGCTTTTCGAAGTGTCCAACAATGGTCGCGCATTCTTCTACTGTAATTTCGTCACAAGCACGCAGTAATGCTGCTTTCAAATGATCCACCGTCACGCATTGGATTCCTGAGATTTTCTGCTCCAAGATAGACTAAACGGAGTAATCCATCGGGTTCAGATCAGGCGAGTTGGAAGGATAAATGTCCTCGCCCCAAAATCCCGGAAGCAGCTCTTCGCAGGTGGATTGGGCAGACTGCAGTGGAGCCCAGTTTTGCTGAAGCACAAATCCATCTGAACCAAAGTGCTGCGACGTCCATGGCTTCAGTACATCGCGAAGAACGCACTGTTGATAGTTAGCAGCATTGATTTTAAGGTTACGGTCGATGAAGACGAGTGGAGGTTTTCCGGTGACACAGATCCCAGCCCAGACCATGACTGAGGCTGGAAAGTGCCTATGGCCGACGGGTTTCGCTGCCGTTGTCTTCTGCTGACCCTTCTTGAGTAGTACAGACAATTCTGGTGGTTGTGTACAGGCTCGATCGTGGGAATTTTTCGTCGGTGAAGAGCACATTTTTCAAGCGACCAGCACCGACCAGACGACGCATCCTGCGAGCTTCGATCTGGGAAGCAAAGGAGGCAATTCTGAACACATGTTGTGATTTCTCTGTACACCGTCATCGCTACTGGTCTAATGAAGATTTCCGAAAGTTTAGGTTCGCTGGTTAAGTTAATTAAATGGCACTTTTACGATACCAAAGTATTTCGAAAAATTGCCAGAACTTTTTGGTCACCCTGTATACCCCCGTTCGACGGCTCACATCAGTCGTATCAGAGGGGAGAATGGGGAGGGGGGGGGTCGTATCAAGCTACCTCTTGTAAAGGGGCTCCACGAACCCGACCAGAATCTCCTTCCAACGATGAGCCGTGGTAGATGAAACACCTTGATTAGTGGATTACTTACTTGTTTTCAGCAAACATCACCTCTCATCTCACATATGATGCTTATCTTCTCAATACTTCTATTCTTCATGTCCTTACCTTGGAGTTTGTTATTCTGCTTCAAAGTAATAAAGTAAGTTCTATCAAAGTATTGCGTATCAGAGATCAATCAAACAATATTCATTATTCAGAGAATATCAACGTGCTGTGATTTTCCGCTTGGGACGTTTAATCCGTGGTGGGACGAAAGGCCCAGGATTATTTTTTATACTTCCTTGTATCGACACTTGTAAAATTGTAAGTGATTTTTATCGTAAAGGTTGACTGATGTTTACTTTAGTAACTGCTGCCTTGGAATATGTCTTACAGCAGTATTGGCCGATCCTATGATGTTCTCTTACATTTCCCATCAGTTGTTACTAGCGTTTGATAAATGAAAGGCGAGACTCGTCCAAGTCGCGTAATTTATGGCCTGGCGCCTTCTTCTAACGGCCTCGAATTAGCGCCAAATAACATCCAGTCTTTCTTGGGATATTAACTCATGAAGTATGCATGTGCAGGGCTCAGCTTTTTTCAATGTGGAAGGGGAGGGGCGGTTTTTCGTGCTCACTGACGTCATTGCAGATCAGTTTACTTTACTGGAATAGTTATTCATTATGAAAGCACTTGTAAGCCGCTTCATAGCATATGCAAAGTGATGTAGGTTAGATGAATGAGTAAAGTTAGGCCTGAAACCACGGAAACAATTTCTGTCAAAATCCGTCTGGTTATCTCCCACTATTCTATCCTTTCGTTCGCACGGGGCATAATATAGCCTTGGCTATCCAAGCAGGGTACATTAGTTGGGAATTTCGGTCGAGTTCGTACGATACCCATCCCTAAAAGGTGGCTTTATACGACCCCCTTCCCCTAGTTCCCTCCTCTGATACGATCGAGCTGTCGAGCGGAGGGGGGAAGGACGGGATATGTAGCACATGTGGAACGGAAGGACGGGACAAACCGCAAGAAAAATACTCCTCCTTCCCCATCGTACCTACCACTTTCTTAGTTTTTCCAACCTCCTACACCTTTTTCCAGAATTCCGAATTTTCCTATTTTTCGCCAAAATTTTCAATCTCGCCGTCGAGCTGAGGGGGGGGGGGATATATAGCACCTGTGGACCCCAAAGTCGACAAACGGGAAAATTTTACGCATTCCTAACGCCGCAGTTTTCCCGCAGAAGGCAGATACGACCGCCTCCCCCCCCTCTCCCAACAACGAGTAAATACGACTTCCCCGCTCCCCCCCCCCACCTTGTTGGGGAATCCCCAACGATGATGTGATCTGTATCCAAGACAGGGCGTGAATGGTGCTCTGCACCATACTAGTGATCTCCAGGTCCCTGTGTAAAAAGGAAAGCTCGAAAGCTCCTACCAGAAGAACCCATTTGATTACCTTGTTCGATGGAAATAAACAAAACATTGCACGACATCATGTTTAGGCTTCAGCAAGAAATAACGTGGAGATGATTACCTCCGTCACTAAAATCAATAATGAATAATTTATTTGTTACGGAATAGTAGGTAACGTAGTAGATGAGCCCTGCTGTTAGGCGAATGTTCTCTGGGGACGTCCCGACACCAGCTCTAGTTGTGTTGTTGCTAAAGACATGATGGAGATGCTATTAGTTTTTCTATGGTCCGCTGGGGATGCATACGTGTAGATAATGCACAATTAAAGGCAGATTTTCACGTTCACAAGTCAAGGATAACAGGGTTCGAGTGCCAGTGCGGAGGCGCTTATCAACTTCATTGTGAAGAGAGAAGCAGAAAAAAAAACCGTGAAAAACGCGCTGGAAAAGTCTCATTTTCTTCCAAGCATTGCAAGTGTGCGCAAAGAAGAATTAGTGTGCGTATGGGATAGAGAACAGACAAATGAGAAGCAAGAGAATCTCCAGTATTCAGGCCCCATGGGCTCAAGCAACAAGCTTGCAGCTCGTTTCAAGTGAATATTTGAGCCGCAGCAAGGGCACACCCCTGATGGTACGGACCCAGGCTACCTACTTTTAGAGGGGCATGAACATCCTTGAGATCACGAAGTGTGACTTTAAGCTTACATTTCATATATAGAAATCAAGTAATCGTATAACTCGAAAATGTTTAAGGTCGACCTCCGAGTGCTTTCATTCGACGTGCCACCTCAGGAAATTCTCAGTCGTGACTCTGTAACCGTATCTGTAGAAGCTGTCATTTATTTCCGAGTTTCAAATCCGGTTAGTCATAGAACTTACAGGGCAAGGTTTGCACCGTGTAATGCATAGATCTCTCTGTCCAGAGGAATTCGCTTGATCTGAAGTGAATAAGAGTTCAGTTAATGGAACGATTAAAGGTATATTCCATGAAGGTCGCTTGGGCGGAGCTACGTAGGCCATTCAGTAGTGGAGAACGCGAGCGATGCTCTCTTCGAAGGTTGTGTTCATAATTTGCGATTCAGGGGAATCAGCGCTTTCGGAGAATCGGCGTTTTTAGCGCCGATCGATAACTGCAGTCACAAGAAAAAAAAACTTGGAGCATGCAAACATGCCAAAATCGCACGTTTTTTTTCGCACTTGTGCCTGGCCTTTTCAAACTGCATATAAACCTTTTTTTGCTCATTTTAATATCGCTAGGGTATACTCTTTTCGATATTTTTTATTCATTTTTTCGTTTATCCTTTTCGTTCATACCGGCTATTCTTTAAAAGCGTCGATTCTCCTGAAACACCAGGTTGATACCCTTACTTTCCCTTTTGCGCACTCTCCGAAACGAGTGCGAAATAAACAAAACATTGCACGACATCATGTTTAGGCTTCAGCAAGAAATAACGTGGAGATGATTACCTCCGTCACTAAAATCAATAATGAATAATTTATTTGTTACGGAATAGTAGGTAACGTAGTAGATGAGCCCTGCTGTTAGGCGAATGATCTCTGGGGACTTCCCGACACCAGCTCTAGTTGTGTTGTTGCTAAAGACATGATGGAGATGCTATTAGTTTTTCTATGGTCCGCTGGGGATGCATACGTGTAGATAATGCACAATTAAAGGCAGATTTTCACGTTCACAAGTCAAGGATAACAGGGTTCGAGTGCCAGTGCGGAGGCGCTTATCAACTTCATTGTGAAGAGAGAAGCAGAAAAAAAACCGTGAAAAACGCGCTGGAAAAGTCTCATTTTCTTCCAAGCATTGCAAGTGTGCGCAAAGAAGAATTAGTGTGCGTATGGGATAGAGAACAGACAAATGAGAAGCAAGAGAATCTCCAGTATTCAGGCCCCATGGGCTCAAGCAAACAAGCTTGCAGCTCGTTTCAAGTGAATATTTGAGCCGCAGCAAGGGCACACCCCTGATGGTACGGACCCAGGCTACCTACTTTAGAGGGGCATGAACATCCTTGAGATCACGAAGTGTGACTTTAAGCTACATTTCATAAATAGAAATCAATAATCGTATAACTCGAAAATGTTTAAGGTCGACCTCCGAGTGCTTTCATTCGACGTGCCACCTCAGGAAATTCTCAGTCGTGACTCTGTAACCGTATCTGTAGAAGCTGTCATTTATTTCCGAGTTTCAAATCCGGTTAGTCATAGAACTTACAGGCAAGGTTTGCACCGGTGTAATGCATAGATCTCTCTGTCCAGAGGAATTTCGCTTGATCTAAAGTGAATAAGAGTTCAGTTAATGGAACGATTAAAGGTATATTCCATGAAGGTCGCTTGGGCGGAGCTACGTAGGCCATTCAGTAGTGGAGAACGCGAGCGATGCTCTCTTCGAAGGTTGTGTTCATAATTTGCGATTCAGGGGAATCAGCGCTTTCGGAGAATCGGCGTTTTTAGCGCCGATCGATAACTGCAGTCACAAGAAAAAAAAACTTGGAGCATGCAAACATGCCAAAATCGCACGTTTTTTTTCGCACTTGTGCCTGCCTTTTCAAACTGCATATAAACCTTTTTTTGCTCATTTTAATATCGCTAGGGTATACTCTTTTCGATATTTTTTATTCATTTTTTCGTTTATCCTTTTCGTTCATACCGGCTATTCTTTAAAGCGTCGATTCTCCTGAAACACCAGGTTGATACCCTTACTTTCCCTTTTGCGCACTTTTGAAACGAGTATGAGCAAAGTACACTTCATATCTCGAATATGGCGAGGGTGTGGCTGCGTACTTCATCAGGACATGGCGGTGCATAAGTTTTTTGTAGAATATTTCCATTTGGAATAACTGTCATCCTGTCATGTTCCAGACAACAAGCATGACCACAATTGTTCCGAAACTGTAACATTTGCACCGTTGTTATTGTGCACCCCGACCAAAAGAACGAAGCACGCAATCACGCCCTTTCCATCTTCGGGAGATGGAGTGTATGAACGCCGCCTAAGATCAAAAAAAGGGGCACTACTAGGGGATATGGGAGGTGGACAAGCTGAAAATTACTCCGACCGCACCATCACTGTGGAATGTGCGCCTAACGGAAATTCCATCAGGTTTTTTTTCGTCTGACAACTGGCTTAGTGAACATGCTTCTCGATCACTGCACAACGAGAGATTTATGAACTGCACCGAAACCTTTGTTGGCTTTTTGCCTTACTCTTTGTTACCATGTCTTACTTGCCAAATACAGATTATTGATTTCAGGTAATATCGGTGACGAATGTGAATGATGCTCAGTTCAGTACACGTCTTCTTGCTCAGACCACACTTCGAAATGTTTTAGGAACAAAAACACTTAGCGAGATGCTCTCTGAACGTGATGCTATAGCAAGTGTAAGTAACTCGTTAGTTATGCTATTGAACGACCATTACGAATGTTGCTTTGAGAATCATAGTTTATGTTGGTGATACATCAACAACAGCTGACACGTCACGGACATGATCCCCGTTTGTAAACCCCTAACTCATCAACACATCATGTTGAACAAGAACAAGTCGCTATTGATTGGTCTCATACCAAATAGTAATGATTTTTTTTCAAAGGGCTACAGTTCAACCGATTGTCTTCCGACAGTAACTATCTCCTAGCCTATGGACCGTGAGAGAGACGGAGGGGGGGGGGGAGTAGTCAGAGGGGGTGGCCTAGCGAAAAAGAGAAAGTGTAGAGAATTTAGAAGTTGTTTTATGATGATAATTGCTGTTTCACGCCGCAGTTCGCGCTCCGAAAGTTATCACAAGAATGCTGAGTTATGGGCAAAAGTCTGCCCCAGCGGGACTCGAACCTCGCACCTCACGCTTTCCGGGTGAACGGGCTATCCGTTACGCTACGAGGCCCGCTCTTACCCTCCCGGGCTTAACGGCTTATATGCCGTAGGCTTGCCATTCTAAGTTCAGTCAGTTCGTATTGAAGTTAGAAACATACGGAAAATCGCGAGGATGTGGGGAATTTTCAGTAGGAGCTCCATTACCTTCTTGTCCACTACAACCTCCCCCCCAAAGCGCTCAAAGGGGAGGGAATGTGAAAAATGGCATCAAGTAATGATAAAGGGTAAAATGTTCGCCGTTGGTCAATTAGAAGAAGAAATAGACATAGGTAGAAAAACTATGACAAAACAATGGTTTGTTTCGTCGTTACCGTCAGACAGGCCATTGCAATCCCTTTGTTGGATGCGGCAAGCATTCTACTTCCATTCAAGTTCGTAAAGGTTTATGGATGCGATGTGGCCTATACAATGACTTGCGGGGCCAGCCGATGTACAAGTCAGTGTTTTTATCCTCCCAGACGAATCTGGTACCAATTTACCGTCCCCGGAGGGTAGAAAG